ATTTGCCTATGGTTGGCTTCAGAGAGCCCTGTCATCCTGAAGTGCTGGCCAAAAGGGGTATACCCTGTGGGCTTCAGACCTCCAGCTTCCTCTGAGCCAGGGTCCTTGCCTTTTCCTGGCCTTAGCTTTTCTCATCTTGAGTCCTCAGGGGATGTCAAAGTCAAGTTTCTCTAGGAGACTCTGGCCCATGTTCATGTCCTAAAGGAATGAGGAAGGAGAGGTGTGGGAGAGGGATAATGACACAGCCCAAATAATGTTATTGATGATGTGTGTAGGAAATACAGGTAGGGCTGCCCTCAGTCAGCTGATGAATGGAAGCCACCCCAGTCCTGTCCCTCCCACACTAGGGATGATCAACACTCCTTGAGAATATACTTCAATTATGGAAAAGGTATGGTAGGGGGGGAAGTGCTTTATGAAGCCCAGATACTTGTTCTGATCCCAGCTAGCTCTGCATCTAAGCAGGTTCCTTCTGCACCTCTCTCCTCAGCTACCAAATGAAGGAATTGAGTTATTCAAGATACAAAGCCCATAGCTCCATGTAGATGATAAACTACAAGGTTCTTATTATATGTTGTAACTAATCCCCAGTGATGGATCATCTGTCAATCTTTGAACTTGCAACTACAAATTTCTTCCCAATGATGAAAACCAAAACACGTAATCATAGAATCAAGTTTTGTCTGGGAAACTGAGGCAAAGGAAATGGCTCCTAAATTCCTTCGGAGACAAGTAGATCAATGAGCCAAGCATATGCTTTGCATGCAGGAGACCCCAGTTTTCCATCCCTGACACCCCTTATTCCCCCAAGCACTGAGTCAGGAGCAACTCCCAAGCACCAAGCTAGAAGCCCTGAACACAGCTGGTCCAGAAACAAATAAGCAAAAAAAGAATTTCTTCCTGGGGTTGAAGTAGAAAACAAGATGGGCTGTGCTATTTGCAACCATTTCCTCTGCAATCAGACCAAATGATGCAAATATGAATATTAAATTATGCACTCATACTTTTTATTTCTGCCTTTTACGGCAAACCACAGGGAATCCTTTGCTTTTAGTGTAAGGTTTCATTGTAAGTGTAAATCATGAGGAAAGGATAGGAAAAGCAAACACAGAATTGCATCTATTTTCAGCTGCAAGTGATTTTTTAAAATTTTTTGTAGTGAAGTAAGGTAGTTTTTATTTCACGAGATGGTCTTAGAAAAATAAGAGGGATGAGAAGAAGAGACGTACGTGATCAAGAGAGAATGTGTTTTTCATTAGAGTGGGAAAAGGTGGGCAAAGACAGAGACAAGAAAGCAGGATACATGTTCAAGGGAAAACACAGGCTTGGGAGGGCAGGCCTGAAGCTGCAAGTGTTTTTACACAGTAGGCCAACCCCCTCATCATGTCAATGAGGAATAACTGAGAGGCCCCAGAAGTGAAACAGCTCATCCATGCTCTCCTCTCAGTGCAGCTTCTCTTCATTTATTTCACCGAAAATGACCATGATTGGACAATACCACCACCTATGTGTCATTTTTAATAAAGCACTTTAAAACACCAGGCAAAGAAGAGATTCCGACCCCTTACAGTTTCTCCTATACAACTAGAGGGTCTGGGCAAGGGAAGGAGGTTATCAGAGTAGACATTCCTGAAACATGACAAACTTACCCTTCCAGAATGTATTCAGGGTCAATTCCTCTCCATTAGTTGGGCCATATTCCTACACCCTGTCTTCCTGTCTCGTCACAGGAAGGCAAGCACTAGACCCTTCCAAGAGAGTTGTGATGAGAACATTGACTTTTAGCAGTATAGCCATTAGTTACCATATCACCTGTCTAATAAACAGGTGTGGTGCTATTTTAAATAGCCTTTGGTGAAGAATCGAAAGAGCTATGTTTGGAGTATCACACTTCACTCAAGTGAGAGAAGGAATCCAAAGTTCCGACTTCCGTCGACTACTGAAGATCAGGAATGCTGCCTCATTTGCTAAAATCAGATGGGCTGGACACATAATGAGATTTAGAGACAACTGCTGGACTTGAGCTGTTACCGACTGGATTCCACGGGACATCAAAAGGCCACATGGCTGCCCACCTATGAGATGGTCATACTTCTTCGTCAAAATCCTGAACAAACAGTTTGAGGCTCTTCGTGTTCCTGGAGTGAGCAGATGCCATTGGGCTTCACTAGCACATGACAGGAATGAATGGAGATGTTACTGGCACCTGCTTGAGCAAACTGATAATCAACAGGATGACAAGTGATACAACAAATATGATTTCAGTGCTAATTCCTCCTTTGTTTAGTTTCCCATGAATCAAGGCAAGTTGCCCAAAATCATCTCAGGAAAGGAAAAAAGAACCATGTCCTAGAGAGATAATAGAGCATTTGAGACGCGTGAATCCAGCCAATCCCTGTTCAATTCCCAGCACTGAAGATGGTTTCCAACCATTTTGCCTCTCCAACCAGATGGTGAGATGTGCTTTATTGTTACATTCTTCCTACTATGGAAAACGCCCCCATGGACTGCTTGGATGGCTGATCACATTAGATATTTTTTGACTGCTACACATTCCAGACAAGGATGGCCTAGATAACACAATCAAAATTCAAAAATGCTGGAGGGAAGGTCACACTGGTAGTGGGATTGATGTTGGAACATTGAACACCAGAAACAACTGTATTCTGAACAACTTGGTAAGCCACAGTGTTTAAAGTTAGGAAAGCTTTTTAATTAAATAACTTAAAAAATAAAATATAAATAAATTAAATGCACAGATTACTAGAACAGAAAGGGACCCTGAGCATATTTTACCTCCTTTAACAACGGAGGAAAGTTATAATGAAGCAGAGTCTTGTCCCTTGGTTGGGAGAGAGGTAGTAAGTGGCATTGCCGAACCTGAGGCCAAATGTCCTGTTTTCCTGTTACGTTCTTTCCCAGCCTGGCTGCTTCCCAACCCTCGTTGAGCTTCTGACACTCTCTGGAAGGGCCAGAAAAGGACTCTTCCCTGGAAATCAACTCCCACTGGGAGTTGCCTATGTGGTTCCACCTCCTGATTTATAGAAGAAGGGGCTCTAAAGAATGAACCTAAGAATTCTATGTCTGACATTGTGTCTGACAGGGTGGGCTGCCATGCTGAGTTAAATGCCTGTTTTAATTGATCCAATTCCATTGTTAGGCTAGTGACATTCTACACACAGTTGAAAAAAACATACTCTTGCTTTTTTAAAAATTACATAAGTGACGCGGCCGACCCGGTTGACCCAAGTTCGATTCCTCTGCCCCTCTCAGAGAGCCCAGCAAGCTACCAAGAGTATCTCACACTCATGGCAAAGGCTGGCAAGCTACCCATGACGTATTCGATATGCCAAACACAGTAACAAGTCTCACAATGTTACTGGGCCCACTCAAGCAAATCGATGAACAATGGGAGGATAGTTACAGTGACAGTGATTCAATCATCTGGTTTGTACCTAAGAATTATACATGGTTCACTGGCATGCACCATTTGGGGGCTACAGCCTTCTACTATAGCTTTGATGGATTTGTGGCAGGAAATCCGCTGCACCAAACTCCTACTCATGCAGGAGCAGTGATGGAGGGTCACTGTGTTGGTCCGCGATTCCTGGGATCTTCAATATTTTCAAGAGTGAAAATAGTGAGTAACAAAGATGCCCAGACTCAGAGTCAGAAAACAAAAAGATGCAGTGGAAAGTAAGTAGAAGAGACAGAAAGTCCCCAGCAGGAGGAAAGTAATGTAGGACTAAGTTAAGTTTTACTCGTTGTGTGTGTGTGTGTGTGTGTGGTGGGGGGGAAGAATATAGGTAAAGTGGGTCTTTGTGTTACTTATCAAAGTGTGAGAGGATTCCCATTTGCTTCCCGGAGATGTGTGATTAATCTAAGACTAACGCCCTTTATGTATTTATGACCTTTTTGATTATTTATTTGCCCATCTACCTGGGTATTGCCCATTTTGTCTTGGTCTCCTATGAGCTCAAAAGCTCGGGCAGAATTTATGATCGTGGGAAAAGGAAACTGCCTACTCTGAGAGAGCCCAGGAATTTGGAGGAATGCCGAAAGTGTCAGTTACAATGAAGATGCAAGCAACAGTGGGCAAGGGGGGAACTGAGGCTTCCTCTTTCACTACCTAGAATACCCATCCGGCAGGCACTAACTGCCCTAGAAGGATAAACAGGGTGGGGGCAAAGAGCATTCCACTTGACATTCTGTCTGCTTTTCTGAAGAACAGTTTTCCCTTGGTTTCAAAACCTTCCTCTAGTCTCTAAAATGTTGAGTCGATCTAAATTTGCTTTATACACCCTGTATTACTGGGCCAATATTTTCATTTGTATGGGGTCAGTTAAGTCCGGAGATGAGAACACAGAGCTATAGAAAATGTTTATAAAACAACAACAATGTTGGTCTGGGGTCCAGTAGGCCTAATTGGGTAATAAAACCCAACTTTGCATTTGCTAGTTGTGTAAACCAAGCACAATTCATCAACCCTCAGTCTTCGGTTTTATGGTACGTAAACATACTCAAAACAGACAGACTGGAATCATTAACTTAAACCAAGGGACGAATCATCAGCTCAAAAGTCATTTAGGAATTTTGCTTCCGTCGTTGCACGTTGCTCCCTCCACCCGTCTCCCCTCTACCCGCCAACCTCGGAGAGGACCTTTGGATGCTCCTGAGATCTCTGTGCTTCACTTCTCGTCTAGGAAATGAAGATCATACCTTATTCATGAAGCAGAACTGTGCTGAGTTCTCAATTATTGCTGGCTATTATTACTTATGGTGATACTTTCTGCGCACCGCCCCCTGGGGGCGCAAACGCACTTCGCGAGCCGTTGGCCCGTTTCAGCCTCCAGAGACCGGGAGACCCGCGCTCCGGCTCCGCGCCCCCGGACTCACAGCGGCCCCTAGCGGCCGCGCTTCTCTCCGACAACGCGGGTCGCATGCGGATTGTCCCGCGCGGCGCCCCGTCGGCAGGCGCGGAAGCCGGGGACGGGCCCCGGAAGTGGGCCTGGGCGGGGCTTCCGGGCACGCGGCGGCCAGCTGGGAGCGCCGTGCTCGGCCGCGCTGAGAGCCCGGGAGGCCGCTCCGCGATGTTCCGGATCGAGGGCCTCGCGCCGAAGCTGGACCCCGAGGAGATGAAACGGAAGATGCGCGAGGACGTGATCTCCTCCATACGGAACTTCCTCATCTACGTGGCCCTGCTGCGAGTCAGTGAGTGTCTTGCCTACGCGGTGCCGGTGCAGAGCGGGGAGCCGGCCCGCCGGGGTGGGGGGGGTCCCGAGCCGAGCCCAGCGCACGCGGGGGCTTGCGGGTGGGGGGGCCCGCAGGCCCGGCGCCTTGCAGCCCGGCGCCGCCGTGGGGGCGTTTGCATGGCCAGAGCCCCCGGGAATTTACTCCCCGTGCCACCCCCGGAGCCGTTCTCTCCTCCAGCCCGAGGAGAAGCGGGACCCGGCGTGTGGCTCAAGGTCATTCCGCCGTTTCCTACGTGAACTTGACCTTGAATCCCGCGCTTCCGAGGAACCCAGGTTTCCTCCAGTGCCGACATCCAAGAAAGGTTTTATTTTATTTGCAGAGAGGGTGTAATAAGACAGACTATTTATTTGCTTGTTTATATCCTTAAGAAAAACAATTTAGCACTAAAGGGAATACCCAAACGATTGATTTTTTTTTAATTAAAAAGAAAAATTTTTTTACCATTGGCTGAGACATGGACGTTCGTAAGCCCCGACCGATCATGTATTTTTCCTTTTGCAAACGAGAACTTGGCTTTCCGAGGAGATTTTGCAAGCTAGGTGTCTGCAGTCTTGGGTAGCAAAGCTGAAAGCGGCTGTCTAAAGCCAGCTTTCCTGCTAGGGGCCCTTCTCTTTAAAGGGATTCGCCTTCCGCCTGGTCCCGGGTCAGGTCAGTATTTTCTCACGCTCGGCCGCAGTGTGTTGGCTGGTCTGATGCAGAGGCCCGATGCTGATGAAAAAGGAAGTCTTGGCCAAGGTCGCTGGGGGGGGGGGGGGGGGAGGTGCGTGCTAGCCTTCATTCGCCCCAGCCCTCCCAGGCGGGGTTTTCAGCGGCTGGCCTTCAGACCAGGAAGGGTCCTCAGGTGTGGAAAAAGTGGCAAGCCATTGCTCCACTGTGTAACTTGGCCAGGAAGACTGCTCAGATGAACAAAACCTCCCAAATCGTTCAAAACGTGGGACCACGTTTTGCAACTCACGTTTTTGCAACTCAAGACTTCGTTTTCCTCCTCTGGCCTTTGTTGACTTCACTGGTGGTTAAATGTTAACTTCTTGGCCTGGGTAAATAATACAGGAGGAAAGGCTCTTGCCTAGATGTAGCCAACCCCGGTTCAGATCCTTAGCGCCACCCATGCTCTTACTGAGCACTTCCAGGAGTGATCCCTGAGCATTGCTGGTGGTCTACCAAGCACTCTGGGGATGGTTACAAACCAAAAACAAGAAAAAATAACTTGTGTGTCTTAGAGACCTTTGTATTGGCTATGAATTGTTGGGATTTTCTTCCTTTTTTCTATTACATTTTTTGCTGTGCCACGATTGAATCCATATTAGTTTTATTTTCTGTTTGGGGGCCACCCCTGCAGTGCTCAGGGGTTACTCCTGGCTCTGCATTCAGGAATTACTCCTGGAGGTGTCTGAAGAACAATATGGGATGCAGGGGGTCAAATCATGGTGGGCTGCATGCAAGGCAGATGCTCTACCTGCTGCACTCTTGCTCCAGCCCCCTGAACCCAGACAAATCAAGCACATGCTCTACCACTCAGTCACATCCTTGGCCCATGAATTAGTTTTTAAAACATACAAGTACCGTGCAGAAACAATAGTACAGCAGGTAGGGTATGACCCTTACACGGGGCTTACCTGGCATCCCATATGGTCCCCAGAGCCCCACAAAGAGTGATCTCTGAGTGTAAGGCCAGAGTAAACCCTGAGCATCTTCATGTGTGGCCCCCAAAACATGCAAGTGCCAGTGCTCTTTATCAACACTCACCCATTTGAGCCATAGCACAGTGGTAGGGCGTTCGCCTTACAAGCGGCCAACATGGCCGATCCGAGTTCGATTCCTCCGCCCCTCTCGGGGAGCCCGGCAAGCTACCGAGAGTATTCGATATGCCAGACACAGTAACAACAAAGTCTCCAGTGGAGATGTTACTGGGCCCGCTCCAGCAAATCGACGATCAACGGGAGGGCCTTTACCTTTGCCTTTTACCACCCATTTGAGAAGACTGGCCTGGTATTCAGCGGTGGTGTGTGGCTATCACATCAATTTGCCTGCATTTTCTTTTCTGGCCTGCCAATTTTCTCCATTTTACCCTTTTCCAATCCTTGGGAGCCATTATTTTTTGATTTGGACATTTCATATAAGGGAAATTGTACCGTTGGTATGCGAAGGAAAGTTCTTCAGGGGCTGGACCAAAAAAAAAATCAAAAAGCATCAGACTGGTTGATAAGAAATAAAGGAGAGAATTATTAATAAATACATGACTTCTTGAAAATATTATTAAGAATCTCGGAGGTACCCGCATGGTTGATTAGTCCATATGGTTTCCAACCATCCGTTAAAAGCATTTAGCTAAGATGAAGGGGTTGGTTAGTTAGGGCCATTTGCTACCCTAAAAAAAAAATACAAATATTTAAGAGTTAAAGGAATTAGATCGAGAACTCTTGGTACATGTAATTGTCTTTTTTTCAAATACAACGTCCATTCAGTTTGCTTACCCTTCCCATGAAACCAACCTTTGTCAAGTTTTGGGTCGGCAGATTTTTGTTCTCCTATAGTATAAGCACTTGTGACCTTTCGTACTGGCTAATTTCACTTGGAATAATATGAAGGTTTGTACGTACTGTGTTTATTAGTATTTTGTTCCTTTTTATTGCTGAATGATCTTTGTGGCATGAATAAAAATTTGTTTATCTGGTTATTTGATGAAGATTACTTTTTCTCCACTTGGTAGAAGTGGGGCTGGAATGATAGTACAACCGGTAAGGCGCTTGCCTTGCACATGGCCGACCCGGGTTTAATCCTGGCACCCCATATGGTCCCCAAGCAGCGCCAGGAGTGATTCCTGAGTGCAGAGCTAGGAGTAACTCTTTAGCATTGCTGAGTGTGTTCCTCCTCATCCCTCCCCAAAAATGACTTGTTAGAAAAGACTGGACATACTACTGACTTCTGACAGATCTCAGGAGCTTTAAAATTTATTTTATGTATTGAGAAAAATCATTTTGGTCAGAATCACCTCCCACCCCCCCCTTTTTTTGTTCTTTTTTTGTTATATAACTTCATTTGCCATTCTGTTTTAACATTTACAGTTTAGTGAATCTGCCTTAACACCCCCCTCCCAGCTTTATGTCTTTATTACTTTGCTATTAAGTATTTAACATAAGTGGAATCACACAATCTTTGTCTTCTGTGACAGGTTCATTTCACTTAACCCTAAACTTCTATGGTTCACAAATGGAGCATGGCTGAGTTTCCTTTTTTTTAGGCTGGGAAACAATATGTATGCATGACCATGTTTTTTGCTAATCCACTCATCTCAATGAACTCGGATATTTCCATGTGTAGCCACTGTGGAAAATGCTGCTCTGACACAGATGTCTGCATACCTTATATTTTCATTCTGGAGGAACCACCATCTCTTCAGGCTTCTTTACCAAAACCACTTTACATTCCCATCAGCAGTTGCACAAGGCCCCATTTTTGCACAGGTGTGCCAACGCTAGTTAGTTTTGGGTTTTGGTGGTAGTCATCTGTGTGGGTGGTATTTCATATGGGATGATTTTGCAATTTCCTAACAGTTTATGCGCTGGTTTGACCATGCATTTTTGGGTTCTGTTGGGCTTCCCCATGAGGTGCTTAGGGCCGCTTCCTGCAATACTCAACCTGGTTAGCTATTCAGTGCTCGGGCCCTGTGGTGCCGGGGAGGTCACAGACTGTCAGGAGATGACCCAGATTGGGCACCTGCGTCCTCACCACTGTGCTGTCTCCAGCCTCCACAAAGGAGAGTAACAACCACGGTTTTAGGTCCCTGTAGCACCAGTGCCTTGTTTTCAAGACATGCCTTTTTAAGCATCTTACTTGACCTTGGTAATAATTGAAGTTGAACTCTATTGAAAGTTTTTGATCGCCCATGAGTGAGACTTCATCAGTGGGGGAACCAAAATAAGTGTCCAGCTCTTCTGGGTTCCTCGTTAGAATTTTCGCTTGAGAGAGGACTGACCCGCAGTGAGGAGCTGCCTGGGCGATCTGCCTTTCTGCCGGTTGGAGCTACGGTGTCTGGAATGTGAAGCCTTCAACGACCAGGCGTTCTATGTGCTCCCATGCATAGGAGATGCTTGCCCATGACTTGGGAGTTATTTTCAAAAACTGGTTGAACTGAAGGGACCAGAGAGAGATTACAGAGGGGAAGGTGTGTGCTTTGCACACGGTTGGCCTCGCTTTGATCCCCACCCAGAACTCCATGCGGTCCCCTGTGCAGTGCTGCATGTGACCCAAAAAAGAAAAAGAGAAACTGGTTGAACTAGTAAGGCTTATCCCCTGATCGTATAATTCCCTGATGTAACTTGTGGGTTAGTTGATCTCAAAATAAATTCTGGGTCTGTTTTTCTTTCAGCTCCTTTTATCTTAAAGAAGCTGGACAGCATATGAAGGCTGGTCATCACATGTGAATGCAGGATATGAAGAACCTGATTACAGTTTCTCCTTCTGTCTGCAAATGAGTAGGCCCAGAAAGATGTAAGAGACTCTTTGATTGAATGGACCTAAAAATTCTACTTGTTAAGAAACAAGTTTGACTCTGGTGACTGACCTTCATAGCTGAAACAAAACTATTTGGAACGTATAAAAAGATATTTTGTGGTCCTAGAACGCCCGTATGCCAGTGATATTCAGCCTCTGTCAATGTTGATATAACGGTAACTAATGGCAAATTCCCTTTTCTAGCAAGTATCAGTTATAAGGGAATTATGTCTGCGGTGACACTGTCTTGTCATTTCTGGTCCCCTTTTTACTGCTGTCTGTTGAAGAGTTTCTTACAGCTAGCTGTTTTATGGAAGCCAGCACACAACCATGATGACGTTTAAGCACAGGACCATTAGACTATATTTTTAATAAATGTATTAATTAAAAAAACTGGGGTTTTGCTTTTCTTAAACCCTCTATTGCTACAAATCAACAACGATTGTGACTATTACAAACTGCATAAAATTGTATTCCTCTTGTAGGAAAGGCAGTCTTATTTGTTTATGCTGTATATATGTAATACCACCAAAGGGGAAATGCTGCATTTCTTTGGAAAAGATAGAAGCCCACCCCTGGTAATGTTGGGGGTTGGGGGAGATGAAGGTTTCGAGGATCCAACTCAGGACCTCACAAATGCTAGGCAAGTAATTGATCTACACCCAGTTATGATCAGGGCTTACTCCTAACTGATTTAGGAATCACTCATAGCAAGGCTCGGGGTTTGGGAGGGGAGTCAGTGTGGGGTATCTGGAATTGAATCCAGATCAGCTATATGCAAGGCAAGTGTTTTACCCTCTCTGGCCCCTGAATTTTTTTGTCTATTTTTTTTTTTTAATTAATCACCATGAGGTACAGTTACAGACTTACAAACTTTCATGCTTACGTTTCAGTCATTCAATGATAAAGTACCCATTTCTCCACCAGTGCCCATTCTCTACCACCAACGATCCCAGTATCCTTCCCACCACCCCCACTCCATTCCCCCATCCCACCCCGCCTCTGTGGCAGGGCATTCCCTTTTGCTCTCTCCTTCTGGGTGTTGTGGTTTGTAATATAGGTATTGAGTGGCTATCGTGTTCGGTCTATAGTCTACTTTCAGCCTGCATCTCCCATCCCGAGAGGGCCCTCTACACACCCTTTACCTGGTGTTCCCTTCTCTATCTGAGCTGCCATTTCCCCCAGCCTGTGAGGCCAGCCTCCAAGCCGTGGAGCAATCCTCCTGGTACACATCTGTACTATTCTTGGGTGTGAGTCTCGCATTCTTTTACTTTATATTCCACAGATGAGTGCAGTCTTTCTATGTCCTGGCCCCTAAATTTTTAAAGTTAGATACTTTTCCCAAATTTGTTGGGAAGGAGAGATAGACCTTAATCTTCTGAGAAGCAACTGTATTTACCTGATTTCAAAAACAAACTGGTATTTTCCTTTGTGTCTCTAACAAGTTTGTATTTCCACTTTATAATTTTTAAGCTTTAAACACTAACTGTTGACTTCTCCATGTATTTCAATAAAGATTCAGGTGTTGGGACCAGAGAGATAGTACAGGGATTAAAGCACTTGCCTGGCATATGATCAACCTCTGTGTTCAACCCCCTGCCCTGTACCTGGTCCCTGAGCACCACCAGGAGTGATCCCTGCATACACAGCCAGTAATAAGCCTTGAGCATTGAGGGGTGTAGGACCCCCTCACCTTCACCAAAAAGGATTTAGTCAAACTTCCCCTGACTTCACTTGCACATCTTTTTTTTTTCTTTCAGTGTACTTGGTGGGTTTTAAGTTCATCAATATTACTAGAATTCTTTACTAGAATTATAAATGTTGTTAATTACAATTTTCCTTATATGTCTTTCTGGGCTCATCTTTTTATGAACTTAACTGAACACTTTCCTTTTCACCTAGATTTCTGGCATGGTTCCATGTTGTTAGGGTATTTTTGTCTCGTTTCCTTAGATAAGTCTCCTAGAGATTTGTTCCTGTCTGGACCATGAGTCGGCTCTGCCTAATGGCTGTATTCTGGGATCACCTACATCATCCTCATCCTCCTGGAAATTCCTTCTCTTCTCCCATGTTGGATCTTTCGTCTTCTGTCTTGAGTTCGGTGTATATCTGTATACTCTCTGCTTCTCTTAGTAGCCCCACCCATGACTATTGGGCACCCTGCAATCCTAAGACCCTTGGCAATATTCTTTGAAGAAAAGAAGCTACTGGTGAGGAGTGTGCTGGGTCAGGGATGCTAAGTGTGGACAGTTGCAGGGTGTGTGGCTTCTTAACCCTTCAGCCAGTCTTATTTGAATGTGTCCCCCTTTGATTCCGATTTCAAGAGAAGCCATGAGACCATCAATTTCTGAGCCTTGAAGGAGTCTCTGAAGTAGCCATGGGTTCTTTTTCTTTTCCTACTGCTGACATTGAATTTTGTTTGCTTGGCTACCATGTTACTGCTTGTCCACCTGCTTTCCTACTTCCAACTTGTTTATTTCTCCTGGTTTTCATCTCTTTAGGCTTAGACATCAAACAAGTCTTTTGTTGACATTGAACAGAATTTTAGAAGGGAGTAGAAATAGGTCATGTGCTCCATCAATGTCCCATCTTTCTCTGACTGTTTTATTTATTTATTTAGCTTTTGGGGTCATACCCAGCGATGCACAGGGGTTACTCCTGGCTCTGCACTCAGGAATCACCCCTGGCGGTGCTCAGGGACCATATGGGATGCTGGGAATCGAACCTGGGTTGGCTGCATGCAAGGCAAACGCCCTACCCGCTGTGCTATTGCTCCAGACCCTCTCTGACTGTTTTAATCCTGTGCTATGTTTCGTGGTGGTGCTTTCTGTGTCTCTTAGCAGTGTATATAGCTCCGTGGCCATATACCCTGACTTTACTATATGCAGATTTGCCTTTGAGTTCTGGTGCTAATACCTAGAAGCTAGGTAGCTCAGCAACCTAGTGTCTTTAGCTGCGTTTTTCTCCAGCTGTAAAATTAGCATAATCGGAACATTCAAAATGTTAAAAGAATTAGGTGAAACTAGTAGACCAATTGGCACAAGACCTGAAATTTGGTAGATGTTTATTGTTTATGGTTAGTCTTATGAAATGTTACTGAGAGATATTTGTGTTGGCAGTTTGTAGGTTTCATTCATATTTCCAGATGTTTGGGAGAGAGCATGCTGATGTCTGCAAACTTAAAATGGCAAAACACATTTTTAACCAAAAATAGCCATAACCGATCCATATTGATGCTTTTATAGATAGGGAATTTGATACTCTGGAAGTTTACGTGGATCATATGCTGTCTGGTGCTTGTGGATTTTTAGTGATTAGAGTATTTGTACTTTCTCCTTAAGTGCTTTTCTTGGGACCAGGGGTATGTGAGGGACGTTTCTGTTGCCAAGATTACAGTATATTCATGGTCACGGTCACGGTCCTCCCGTTGTTCATCGATTTGCTCGAGCGGGCCCAGTAACATCTCCATCGTGAGACTCGTTGTTACTGTGTTTGGCATATCGAATACGTCACGGGGAGCTTGCCAGGCTCTGCCGTGCGGGCGAGATACTCTCAGCAGCTTGCCGGGCTCTCCGAGAGGGATGGAGGAATTGAACTCGGGTCGGCCATGTTGGCTGTGTGCAAGGCAAACGTCTTACCCGCTGTGCTACAAGAAAATGTGATGGCATATTTTGTTTGTTTAGGTGCCGTACCTGGCCATGCTCAGGGCTTATTCCTGGTAGTGTTCAGGGGACAATATGGTGGAATGCTGGGGATCGAACCCAATTCACCTGTATGCAAGGCAAAGTGCCCTACTTGCTGCACTACTGGGACCGCTTTTTGTTGTCTAAGAGGGGCCCCACCTGATAGTGCTCAGGGAACCGTGTGTGGTACCAAGTATTCATGCCAGGTTCCCAACCATAGCTGCATGCATTTGTTGGTATTTTTTTATTTTGGAGGGTTTTTTTTTTTGTAGACTCTTGAAGTGGATCGTAGAGAGAAATGAGGATAATTGAGAGAAAATTATTAATTCTCCAGTAATAGTTTGTGTAGAATAATTTGAATGACCTAGATAGAATTTTGCTCCTCGGCTGCTTTTTGGGGTGGGTGTTTAAAAGCCAAGTCTGTAGTAATTTGAATTCTTGCTAACAGGAAAAGCAGGAAGGAGCACTCTTGAGTTTCCAAAGTGTGCCTTCTGCTTTTCCTGTTAGCAGAACTCATCCTCTTTCTAGCTAGGATAGATACTGTACATATTCTACCATGTTTGCAGACTATTCTTTGGCTGTGTGATTATTTTTATTTTGGGGCTCTACACTCATCCTTCCTACGACATGTAGTGCTGGGGTGTCAAACCAGGGCCAGCTGCATGCAAGGCAAGTGCTTAACCCCTCTCCTGTCCCTCTGGCCCCGAATGTGTGATTCTTGACATATTTTTCATCCTGGATTATCTTCTCCACTTTATTAGTCATAGCTGTGGTTCTAATTACCAGCTGTCTGGAGGAAATTCCCATTGTTTATTTCACGTCAAAGTGTCGGCCATGTTTGGATATTTAGATGCCCCCAAAATATCTCCTATCTCCTAGAATCTTTCAGTTTTGCAGTTCCAAAGTCCACCCCCTTATTATCATGCCTGGAACCTGTTTCTTAGCAAACAGCATCATTAATAGCTGCTTGAGCTAGAATTCAGGAATCTTCTTCAGATCCTTAATTCAGTCACTCTTATCCAAAGCCCCTTTTGCCATAAATAATCAGAGGTTCAGGATTAGTAGTATGTGTGTGGGGGGGGGGGGGAGAGAGAGAGGAGCGCTTGGCGCAAACTGGGAGCTTTGTGCATGTAGAGCATACACCTCAAGCCTTTTAAACTTTCTCCACGTGGGTATTTCATAGAAGTTCCCTTCTGCCTTACTCTGCCTTCCCTGGAAAGTGATTTGATGAATTTAGCCTTCTCTGATCAACCAAACATCTCCCACCTCACTATTCCACCACCCACCACCCACCCTGCTCCAAACACTGGTGTGCACACGCACAGAGTCCTATCCTAGTTTGGGTTTTTTTTTTGTTTTTGTTTTTGTTTTTAGTAAATCGGACATTTTCTCCAGTAGCAGTAACTGAGCTCCACCAGGTCTAATAATCAATGCACCCCCGCACCCCATCCCACCTAGTCAGTCCTTCACTGCCCTGTCTCAGTTCCATTCGCTGGTTTTGACCATTGTGGTTTTGACCTCACCTTTCTTCCTCTGGTTTCATTGAACTTCCCTGGCACAATCCAGACTGAACTGCAACTCGGCCTGTCCTGTGCCTCTCTCGTGCTGCTGAATGAAAGTGGCTGGAAAAACAACATGCCTGTGGTGGCCACTTGGAAAGCATTGACAGTCCCCCTCAGCCGGCTGGGCCCACAGTGTTCTGCAGGACCCTGGCGTCTCTTTGGGTC